AGTGGTTCAAAAGGTCACTCTTAAAATACCTGAACAGTTTTACTGAGTAGTTAAATGAATTATCCCTAGACACAGACTCTCAGAAAAGAAAACTGGTTCAACTGAAAGCATACCAGGCATTTTTAAAAGAAAACCCTTCTTTCAATCTCCAGAGGCCAGTCAACTCGAGTGCCTTTTGCCTGCATGTTTCTTTGATATAGGGCTACCATGAACTTCATCCCAGGAACCTCAGAGAGAAGGACTTTCACCTGTACTGCACTACAGCTTGTAGCTGGCGATTACCAGGTTGCCTAAGATTTTGGCATATACTCAGAAGAGCATAGTGCATTTTTCAATGAAACATTTACTTGCAGTTTTGGGACAGCTGAAACTGCAAATTTGGGTCACCTTAGCAAATAGGTTTTCCTTCTTCTTCTGAGAAAAGAGGGAAAAAATACAAAAGGAATATATCAAAACAATTTACCCCAATATTTCCATTTTGCTTTTTCAGGCTAGAGTCACAAAGGGACTTAGGTAGCATTCTGTGCCTGGTGGCCAGGGAAGTCAAGGCAGATGTAGAAGACATAGGTTAAAATTCCCTCTCTGCTTATCTTAGAGCATGGCAGCATCAAACCATTGGGCAATAGGATATTCTGGCATGAACCTCTTTCAATTAGACCTCTTAAAACTGTTTCATGCTATAAAAATAATTTATTATTCATTGTTCCAGAGAGAAAAATCATGAGACTCTACAGCCCCATAGTAAGGGAGATACCTCAGCTCTGGTTCCTATGCTAAACTAAACAAACACAAAATTTGAACATAGGTCTCCACCTCCCAGATGAGACCACCACCTTCTCTATCTCCCTGTTGCAAATGGCATCCAAACTGCCAGGATATAGACAGCTGTTTCTGGGACCACTGGGGAACTGAGGTGCTAACCAGGGTCAGGATAGGTAAGTGGAATCTGAGGGCAAACCAGGTCAGGGAACCAGGAGGTCAAGTTGAAGTGAGGTCTGGGAGTGAGCAGAGTCAAGAAGCTGGGAGATTCATCAAAGGCAAGCAGTCTAGGTCAAGTTAATCTCTATTGCTCTGATGCTCCCTTTTTTGGGTCAGGAGTTCACACTGGGGAGGTGGAGGGTCAGCTGACCCTGGCCAGGCACTCCAATGACACAGAGTGGGCAGAGGGTTATGCCCTCCTCGGGGCTTCAGGACAGCTTTGACCATCCTGGGTGATTAGCAGGATAGGATGGTCGGCTTGGCAACATTGCCAGGCTGAGGTTGCAGCCTGACTCAAATTTCCTGTGCTTTCATGTAAAAAGCTAAAACCATTTTTTGCTTTGCCATGTAAACAAACACTGTTTTACTTTGATCATGGCACCAACAATCAAATATTCATACATCTCCAATGCACAGCCTTATGTTTCACTGTCTTTTTCACCAACAATTTTCTTTGCAATTTTAATTGCAAGGAATGGCATTTCTCGCATGCAGTGCCCATCCATATCAACTTACTCCTTGACAAGAAGTTTCCTATGCCCTTGACTTTTGATCACATAGGGTGATGATTTTTGCTTCCTGAATGCTTCTGTGGCAGCTTGTCAGACCATAGTAAACCTGGGTACTGATTAGGAGTGGGCAGGAGGGTGCAACATAGGATATCTGAACATAAATCAAAGTACTAAATTACACTCCTGATATATATTACATCCAAAAGAACTGCATTAAAAGAACATCAAGGTTTTAAAGTCAAACTCTCAAAAGTTAGGAAATGTCAGAATGAAGGTTGAATGTACGGCCCTTGTGCCTATGCATTATGATATAGTCTTTTATTAGGTGTTCCCATACTATTTTTGCACAGAATCCCTATTTCATTTAGTGCATGGGTTAGGCAGTGCTCACCAAATGGATAGATAGTCAATATTTCCTTTTATTCCCATCATTCAATATCCAGCCCCCATGCTTTATCCACTTCACACTATTCACACCCTACTATCGAATCAGAATGATTAATTTTGTATGGGTGTTCCTAAAATGTTATGAGGACTTCCAGGATCTATTCTGAAGCTGTGTTAGTCTGAGACAAAAATAAATACAAAAGTCTAAAACTCTTGGTTCAGAGGTGATACCTTTTATTAGACCAACTAAAAAATAGCAAATATATATATATATATATATATATATATTTGCAATAGATGCTGAAACATGGAAGATATCCTATTTTAGCTGGTTTGGGAAAAATAAATGTCATTGGTAAACCAGAAAGAAAGATTTCTGTACCTTCCTGCCTGCTTCTGACATCTGACACCTCCAGGGAAGATCAGCATTATCTGCATATCAGAGCAACTCACACAAAGAGACTCTCAGGGATCCAAGAGAACATAGGTCCAGCATCAGCTTCCCTTGTGCAAAATGAACTTTATTTTCTACCTAAGAGGATTTTTACAATCTTTGATTTTTCCTCAGCCTGAAGAAGGGTGTATGTACCCAAAAGCTTGCAAAGACAGAAACTTTTTTGCTATTTTTTAGCTGGTCTAATAAAAGGTATCACCTCTGAACCAAGAGTTTTAGAGCTTGTAATTCTTTCTGAGGGCTTTAACACATTCATGCATTTAGTTTTGCAATCCCCAGTAGGGATGGGGGGAGAGGGGGTCATTGTGTTCAGGATCTTAGGTTTGCTTTACATTGTTTGATTATACTGATCCAGCATGCACTTTTCCAAGCTCTGGTGGAGTCTCAAGTTGTTACAAGTGAAAAAACTCCAAAACTCAAGCTGAGCTCAAGCTGCAGAATTCTTTTTTGAGTACATGTGTCACCTTTTGTGTGTCCCATGAACTTCAGACTGGCATCTCTGGAGTAACTTGCCCACTGGGGCCTTATACTTACTATGCCTTCAAACACCCCCCACCACCCATTCTTCAGTTACCTGAGAGTGGCGTCAAGCAACACATATTCCATGTTAGCATCCGTGGGCTAAAGACAGAACTGTCAGTTGTGCTACTGTGACAGCGAGAGAGAAGCTGTTAGGAGAGGAGCTGTACTGGATGGATGGGACCAACACAGCGACCGGCCGGAAAACTGGAAGATGGTGCAATGAAAGGAACATTCAGTGCTGGCATGGGCATGCTTTGACAGTGCATGCCAGCAGTGATTCACCAACCAGAACCTGAATGCTCCTGAAAAACCCACATGGAGGACTAGCAACACAGGGCGAGAAGTAAGTTCCCTGCACTGGCAGAGACTGGCAATCTGCCCTAGGAGGGGTGATTGGTGGAGGCCCAAAGCAGGGGGATGACTCCACGGAGCTGATTTAGAGGAGTCAGGCTAATTACCAGTGGAGCGGGCATAGATGCCTGACGTGGAGAACCAGAGCTGGAGTGATGACAAATCCAGAGGAGGAAAAGAAATAAAGGACATTAAATCTGTGAGTGAGAGAAGGCTATAGAGCACTCCTAGAAGTGTGTCTTAGCCACAATAGGCATAAGGGATAGTGTGGGCTGTAAAGCTGAATAGAGGGCTTTAATCCCAAGGTTTCCCTGATAAAAAAGGGAGACAGGAAGAAAATTGAATTCAGACGACTTTCATTATAAAAGGACTGTGCACCATCAGTTTGGTGCTAGGCAGGGTGTAGGGGAGATGGAGCCCCAAGGCTTAACAATGTTGCGTGAGGCATAAGACACCAAAAGAGAATATAGATCCATCTTCCTCCCTTAATTAATTTACACCAAAGACATGGCAGGAAAAACATCCAGTGCCTTAAGAATCCTTGTCACTGGCCAAACTGTCTGCCCAGAAGGATATTGACAGTTCTGGCCAGCTTCAGAAATCAAAGTGTCAAGTTAAGAACAGGCTCGGCAAATTACAGTTACTCCTCTTGAGCATATGAAGCTATACAGAACAATTTGTTAAAAAATATTATAGTTATAGCTCTTTGTAGTTAGTTAGGATTCTATTAAAAGGTAGTGATTTTTCTTCTTTTTTTGTTACCATCTACTAGATTTCTGCCCTTTCAGATAAGCAAATGAGTATCACTTGAACTTTGCTATTATCTTTAATCTGAGGGATCAGCAATCCCTGCTAGAGATATCATTCTCATAAATACTTCAACTTGTTATTTTTCTAACCAAGCTGAAGGCAAGGTAGATTTTCACCTTTACAGACTAACCAACACATACACACAAGACCTTTCTTTCTTTCTTTCTTTCGACATTTCCCACGCGTTCCTCGACTGCCCCCGGCTGCAGCCTCTCTTTGCCGCCCTGGGCGCGTTGCTTCGGGTGCTGGGCTGAGACTTCTCCGAGGACTTCTACGTCCACTCCTTTCCGTACCGGGTGGCTGAGCGGGCCACGGTCAGCCTGGCCAACTTCCTGCTGGGCCAGGCCAAGATGGCCACCCTGAAGAGCCGGAGAAACCGGCTCACCAGCACTGGGATGGTCAACGCCCTGCAACTCTTCCGCCTGCTGGTGCCGGCCCGCCTCTCG